AAAAAAAAAAAAAATTACCAAAAAAATAAAAAAAAATTTTAAAAAAAAATGTACCAAAAAAAATAAAAAAATAATTGAGTTTTTGTTGGATTTGTTAGTTAAGCAGAGATAATTTAAAAAAAAAAATACCAAAAAAAATAAAAATTTAAAAAACAAATGTATCAAAAAAAAAATAAAAAAATAATTGAGTTAAGTATGAGTAAAATTTTGAGTTTATATTAAACTAGTTATTTAAAATAAGTTAGTCGAAGGACTAAACGTGTTTCAGGTCTGATGCTTGAATACCATCAGAGTGATTTGTGTAGTCCATTAGAAAAGGCCCATTAAACGCAAGACATATTATATGGCCGGCCCGTTTCAACCCAACTGTTAAAAGAATTCCTAGGTTTAAATCGTCTCTCCAAAAGCTGCAAAACGTCCAAAAAAAACATAAATCACTCGGCCACTACTGAGCTGAGCAGCTTCAGAAAAGGCGCCGGCGCCGGCGCGAATCTGCTCGAACCACCAACGTAATTCAATTCCGATATTCAATCTCACCTTCCTAGATTTTAACATAGTTTTTGTACATGAAATTGATTCGAATCTCGCCGTCGATTGTGTTTTCAGGAAAATGGAGGACAAGGCAGTGACCATCAGGACGAGCCATCAGGACGAGCTAGGAGGTTCGTTCATGACACATCGCATCCTATCCCGAGAGCAATTTGTTTGTGTTCTTCCTTTTCGTGCTCATCTGACCTTATAATCTATATGTATGCCCATCTTCTCTTCAATTTCGTGCTCTTGCATATGATATAGAATGAGAAAAATTTAGGATATATTTTATAGTTTGGGAGTCATTCGATTTCATTCATATCCCATATGAAAAAAACAAAATATCATAATATTTTATTCTCCTAATGAGATATACTTTATCTACATTATTTTTCAAGACGAGATTATGCATACCTTTCCGAGATGTCGGTCAAAAGTTGAGCTTCTTCAAGTGTAGCATAATTGTCGTATGTATCGTCCATTCCATTTAAGCATGCTTTTAAGCAACATTTTTTCGAATGTAAGAGTACTGAGTCTCGAGATGCACAGCTGCTCCTCAAAGATAACATTCGATCAATCTATCTCTTGAGTACGTCAGTATAGACTTGAGTTCGAATTGGTTCAACCACCTTTCAAAATGCAACAAACAATAAAGCGGAAACAAAGGAAAATGTTGGAATTGCTCAGAGAGTTCGGACATCTCTTTATTGTACAAATTCTGCAAGAAGTTTGACAAGAAGTGAGCCCCTCGAATCATTTTTTTTGTAATGAGAAATGTAAGTGCATATCTGAATAATCGAAAAAAACTCCTATAATAAGAGTGCTCTAAACCTCGTGTAATCTTTCCTTCAAGTGAGGGCTCTAATGATGAGGTCACTAATATCCTTTTGAAACTTGTCTTTTCATATGGGATATGAATGAAATCGATTAACTCCCAAACTACATGAAGATTCTTTATCGATTCATCATGAGCATATATGAAGACTATGAATGTGATGCAACGGAACAAGACAAATCCTTTATAGTTCCCCATTTCAAAGAATCAATAAAGATTGTCTCTATAATCTAGTTGGCTGGAAATTCCAAAGTTACCAACTAATTAATTTATACACGAGACATCATTTGTATTATTATTCTCATTTTTAAGTTGTAACGAGACAAAAACTATTAGTTTCTTGGTTATGTTCTTGATAAGTTGTTCATAACTATTAAAACTATGCATAAATGTTGTATATGTGAACATTTGAGTTGGTGAATCAGGTAAAACTTGTCTGAGCATACAATCAAGAACATATATGGATAATGGACCATTAAATTCCTTGGTTTGAAGACCATGTGAACAACTCGGTGATCACAAGTTGCATATACTTGATGTTCTTGGCCAAGGAAGTTGTTGAATGGTTGGTGAGCGATTCTAAACTCGTAATATCTATTGCTAAGATGGGTCGACACCTTGAGGACTTGGGCAGAAAAGATGTAAGCATATTGTACATCGACAATTAAGCTAATAATGGTGAGACTTAACTAAGTCTGTTTTTCACGTTTTGAAATCTTGAAGAACGAGAATAGAGAAGGAAAACTACTACGACTGTTTGGTAAGCATATAAGCTAGATTCTAGTGCATAATTAGTTTTTTCGCGGTTATTTTTATTAATTTTTATTCACTGTATATAGATTTTAAACCAACCAACCGAAATATAGACCTAATTAGTTTTTTGTAACGACCAAGTTACAACCCAATAATTACTGACCAAAATTTGCCTTTACCATGAAACGAAAATTTTTTGGGACCCAATCGCTTCTCTTTGTAAACTAATTTATTCAACCTTAATTTTATGTTTATGTTGATACTTACTTTCCATTTTTTTGTTTACAATAAAAGAACTGTTTTACGGCGTCTTAAGTTAAATATATTCTGTTATTTCATAAGATACTTTAGAAATTCATTTTTCACTTGTCAGATTGAATGGTTAATGTAAGTTCAGTTCATAAAGACAATAAAATTAATTGTGTTATAGATATAATTATATATGCAATATGGTATCAAATGGTCGAAAAATAGATAATTTCATATATTATATATCAATGTTGATGACGATAAAAAATCAATAAATTTGTGAATATGAAAAAAAAAAATATTGTTCTCCCCCAAAATTCGTTCGCTTCTTCTCCTATCGTAGCTCTAGCCTCAATCGCTGGCAATTTGTGCCTCTCGGCGTCCATCTGGTTTGCTGGTGGACTGCTCACCGTTGAGCAACCACGTCGCTGTCCGCGGCACTTCCACCTGTCCCTCTCTGGCCGTGGGGAGCGTATGCAGATCTTCAGCGATTTCGTCGCGATTTCGTCAATCTGCGATTAAGCCGCCGGAGACTTAGGGTGGAGCGGCTAGGTGGAGAGCGGCAACAGTGGCTGGGTGCGGCTCTGTAGCTGCGTCGGCCCTGTTCCAGTTTCCCCTCTTTCCAGCCTCTATCGACAGCCTCGGTTTCCTTTCTGGCTCGCCGTGCGCAGGCGTAATGGTGTGGCTGCGGGAGAGTTGTGGTCCGTCCTTGGTGGCTAGGTGGGGAGAACGAGTTCGAGCTTTAGACGGAGCATCTCTTATTGTCGGGCTGGAAGGTAATCCCGGTTGCGGGTCTTCGGTTTTGGTCGGAGTTCGGTCGGGATTCGTCTTTGCGGGCTGGATAGATAGGTAGTTGTTTCAGGCCGGGTTTGTTTCTTCGGGCAGGGTCGAAGCGGCGGAGCGCTGATGTTTCCTCCTCTTTCTCAGCTTTTGAGTTTGTGGGAGGCCGTCTGTTTCCTGAGTTGGCTAGTGGTGTTAGGCAATTTCGGGATGGTTCAGATTGGCTAGTGGTGTTAGCCCGTTGGGGGGCGGTTGTGATTTATTGCAGTCGGTGTGCGGGTAGGTTTTTCTTTTCGGAGCTCTCCTTGGAACTGGCTTTATCTGTTTTCTTTTCGGATATAACTGCTGAGGGAGGACGTTTGTGTTTTTTAGTTTGTAATTTTAGTTTTGGGTGTTGCGTTGTTTGTTCTTGTTTTTGTTGTCAGTATTTTATGTTTGGGTCGTTGGCCTCGGTTAGCCCGTTTGTGATTATATTATTCTGTTGGGATTGTATACTCGGGAATCACCCTGTTAGGGTAGTTTCTGTCTGTTTTTTATTCTTTCTTTGGGAATTTTTAGTGTCGTCATGTTATTTTTGTATTTCTAGAGTATTACCCCGTTGGGGTCGATTCTAGGCAGGCTTCGGTCCTGTCCTCTCAGTCTATTCAGTTGTTGGCTGCTTGCATTCAGTTTGTGGTTGTAGTTTTGCACATTTGTGTGCTGTTATATATAATATTTTTTTGGAAAAAAAAAAAAAGAATATGAAAAAAAATATATGTTTTTTAGTGTGAAAGAGCCAACTAAAAGATAGTATGATGAAGTGATTTAAGGAAATGAAGGTTGAATAGTTGTTCGAAATTTACAAACCTTGTTTCTAACAAAAATTAATACAAACTAAATAATTTTTCAAAACGTGTGAAAGTACCATTCAAACTTATCACAATCTTAAAATAAAAATGTAGGACAAAAGTGTATTAGGTGGGTACAGATAAGTTTCAAAGTAAAATAATTAGTAAAACCGACAAGATCGCATATAATTAAATCCTCCCATACTTTTTATTTTATTTTAAAAAAAANAAAAAAAAAAAAAAAAAAAAAATTATTGCAATCAGGTGATGATAAACTAAAGCAAATTATATTGAATGAAAAGAGTATGGGTGAAGACAATTTGCACATGGCATACAATGTAAGATGAAGGTGAATAAACGGATAATTTAAATCTTTGCTATTTTTTTTATTTTCAACTTGAGTAAATTTAAATGGAATAGTAGGTAGTTGAAGACAAATTGCTAATGGTGTATGATGTGACAGATAATTAAATCTGCCCATTTTTTTGGAATAAAAAATTAATTTGAGTAGATCGATCAAGCTTCAAGACAAATTGCAGGTTGATACTGGAGATATTAAATGGGAAATATTAAAGGAGAGCATATGGAACAATTACAGATCAAAACGATTACAAAATTAAAGCCTACAGTCACGGACTGGACACACTATATGAACTTTTTATTATTTTAATTTTTTTAAAGTTGTTTGCATATTTACCATATTAAATATATATATATATATATATATATATATATATATATATATATGTATTCGCTGGCAAAACAATAAATAAAACCTCTATAAGTTTTTCGCT